AGACTTGCCACGGTCTCCAACCCTCCTCCTTTCTCATCCGGGCTTGGGACCGGCCATGGCGGAGTTGTTGAGTATGTTTTTAGACATTAAATCAGTGAATGTTGCGTACCAATGGCGGTAGTGCTGAATATTGGTGCTCTATCTCCACGGTAACTCTTGACATTTTCCTTAAGGCTGTTCATCAGTTTTTTACTTTCGTTTACAGTATAGAACTGCAAGCGAATTGCAGTTTCTGTGCTTCTTGACGTACACCTCGAAACGTAGTCTCTGATGCCTAAGAGGTCAGCGTTGAACTCTGACGAAGGAGTATCTTTGTCTTAACTATGAATTCACTTGAGGAAGGAATCTACAATACGCCGCTTTCAGTTGGGTTGCTCAGTCGGTAGGACTTAGCATCATGAACCTAGAGGTCAGGGGTACGATCGCCGATTGGGTTACCAGTCTTTCCTTCTTCCCAGGTTGCTAAATTACTTCCTTTTTGTGGGAAGGAAACAAGAGCTGCCGCTATGCGTACCATAGAGCTACTATTGACTCTGCCTTTAAGAAAGGCGCCCCTGACTGATGGTACAGAAATGGAGATCAGCACCCGAGATCGACTTCATCAAACGAAGGGCGCCACAAATCGCCCAATCACGAAAGTGTAAGGATGATCGGCATTGCAACAGTTACAAAGTTTCCTTCATTTTTTTTCTTGCAGTTGCACCGCTACAGTGCCGAATATATGCCACCTTTCGTCCACAGTGCAGTTCCTTATTTCGTTAAGGCTGTTCATCAGTACTTTGATCTATGGCGTGGAAATGCAAAGGCAAACGGATCAAAATATTTGTTTCTTTACGTGCATCGCAAAAGGCTGTTTTTGGCTCTTGGATATATTGTTCATAGTAGCAGTTGTTCGACAGTACTTCTACCGGATTATCGATTACAACAAACGAATCGGCGCAATCGATCCACGGTGTCGTGGAGACTGTTCGTTTCGTCGATCAAACGACAGTAAGCGTGGAGCTGTAAATCTTGTTGATCGCCACACGTCTCAAGAAGCCTCTTTCTTATGACAGACGGCACGATGCAAGGCGGAGAATACGAATTGGCTATGATTTACGAGAAACCTTAAGGAAAGGCACGAAGCGAACCGTAAAATGTGACCCATCGGACGGAAAGTCCTTTCATCGTTTTGTATTCACAAGGGCATTCGCGGCAGAGGCGCTGAATTTCCGTTTCGCATTTTCCATCGAAAGCTGGGGATCGAAACGCCGATCGACCTGCCAGTCGGTCGACGAACGGTCGCATCGTCTCCAATCCTCCACAGATGCTGTACGGCTGGGTGAGTAGAACCGGCAGGCAAGACCTTAACAACAGCACGTTTGACTACCGCCCCATGAAGCGCAGAACACGTCGCTTAACAATTGTTTGCCAGAGACTCGTGGGCGAAAATCGAGCAACAAACATGCACGATAAAGATACGACAGGAAAGACAGGGAATAGAGCTGCAGGAGAAACACCAAAATTTGATCTAAATCAAACTTCGTGATGGACACCGTTGTGTGATCGGAAACATGGGCGCAAAACAAATTTATTCACCTCGTATTCGCACTTTCAACCATTGTAGCAGAAGACCTTCTGCTTGGAAGACTTTACCTTAACTTAAATTAAATCACAAAAAGCTCGAAGACATAAGGAAGTAAATTAAGCACTCATTATTTAAACAACTTAAACGAATTGAAAATACATTTCAGCTTTCAAAGCAGAAGAGGGTTTCTCTTTAGGAGTAGACGAGAAATTCAAAAGAATGAAAGATTTTTATTTAAATCTGTATAACGATGAAAATAGGAGCAATTTAGACGAAGATAAGACGTTTGAAGATACAAATGACGTTGATATCTAGCCAGAAGCATGATATGCGATATAACAGGCGAAAGCACAAGGGATCCTGGCGACTGGACAACAACTATTGATGAGCACAGTTCAGAAACAGAGAGACACAGAGGTTCCGAAGAACTGCAGGCGGCTGATGAGTTTGCTACGAATCACCCGCAAGATTGTGACGAAGGCAATAATTACAAGAAAACTGAGCGCTACACTGCCAAAGAAGCAAACAGGATTCAGAAATGGATTATTACCATCGATCATAATCAGGTGATAAAAGTGATTCTGAAAAAAAACGAGTTACTGAGAAAACAAGGAGTATCTGCTTCATTGATGCCAGCGGTGAGTCGATTTCGAGAAAGCTTTCTGGTCAAAGTCAAAGCTTCCTTTCTGTGCCGGATTCCTGGAGAAGCGATACATAGATGCATATCAAGAGAGAGAGAGACTTCCATTCATTTATTCATTCATCTTCCATGGCCGCTTCTCCTTTCAGGTCGCGGAGGCAGAAGCGCCAGATACAGCTTCCAACGTTCCCGATCTTGTGCCAGAGTCTGAGCTTCGGTAGAAGACAACTGGAGTCTGGAAAAAAATCCTTCCACACAGTTCTACCAAGCTAATTTTGGCCGTCCTCTGGGTTTTGTGCCAGTCGGTTTGGCAAAAAAACAACTGCTTGGCCTTCCTTTCTGGAGGCATTCGCAACACATGCCCAAACCATCGCACTGACTTCTCAGTCTGGAGAAGCAAAGGCTGTACTCCAAGGCTATCTCGGATTTCTGTACTCCGGACGATGTCGAGAC